TCAATCAATCAATCAATCAATCAATCAATCAAACCCCTTTTTTTTTTTCTTTTTTTTTTTTTTCATCTGCATTTTTTCAAAACACCTCATACTTCTGCAAAAAACATAAATTCATTTCTAAAAAAATACAGGTAAACTCACGGACCATATATCTCATGATAAAAAATGACCAAAAAAAATTCCTGCTTTTCTTTATATATATTTTTTGTAATTTTCTTTAAATCCAATTTCGTTTTTGATTTTTTAAAAATGCTAAACAAAGTCAGATTCGAAAACAAAAAATGTGGAGTTGTAGGGCTTAAAATTCCCTACAACCCTATTTTTTGTTTTTTTTTACCTATTATTTAATTCAGGAAAATTCGTGTAAAATCGGGTCCGCGGTGCGGACCAGGTAGGCCGCGGATGCGGACCCATTTGGGTCTGCGATCCGAGCTCGACCCAAGGGCGCGTCCGCGGGTGTTTCGTTGGTGCAATCCGGCCCACCCCTGTGCCCCAAGTCAACGCCGAACCTGCCAGCCCCTGCACTTTATTTAATCTCGCATGCAACGAGCCTTCCACGTGGTTTGATCTGGCTGATCAGGAGGGATTTAAGGAGAGCCCCCATCTCCTCAGGAATTATTTAACGTCGCAGACAGGACGACGATCACAGCCAGATTCAACACCAAGTCCGCAGCCAGAAATATTTAAAGACGGTCTGGTAAGCGTCTGTCCAAAGGGCTGGCATGCCCTGCAGCCCTGCATGACCTCTATTGCGCAAGCAGCAGAACCAAGGACTTGCTGCCCAAGCATGCGTGTACTAGTCCCAGCGGGTTGGCATGGTGACGGTGACCCGAGTGCTTCGTCCAGGGCCCTTCAGAGGCTTCGCCCGTCTCCCACCAGCTTGCTGCCCAGGAAGAATGTCGACTCTCAAGGTTGAGCGCTCGCGACACCTCACATCGAGAGGACTCTCAAGACAGAACTCGCTTCCTCACGGTAAGAAGTCTGAAAAGATAAAGAGGGTAGATAAGGAAGAGAGCAACGTACCTCATAAATGCTGCCCCCAACCACAGATTTCTCACCGGTAACCTGATGTGCAATTATGATGACCGGTCTTTGCCTCGGCACAACAAACAGCAGAATGTCGTTCCACCTCGGCTTAATATGCCACATCAGCGAGCTCTCCTCATCCAGCATACACCCCGTATGTCACCACATAGCTCCCTGGCGCGCCCACTCTACCCTGGGCCGCCCAATGTTTAACGCCAATGCCTTATCACTGCCCCACACCTCATGCGAAGCACCAATAGCTATTGCGAAGAACCAATGAAGCGCAATATGAACCAGCTTCGATACCAAATTGCAAGGAAAATAAGCAACAGCGAGATGACAATTCCAGATTACACCATCACATTGAAAGCCAGATAGTCACAGCATGTCCAGAGAACAGCATCGCACCAATAATACACCAATGGAGGTTCGTAGTACTGAAAACCAATGTCACGGAGAGCATACTCTCTCCTCATCAACACAAGAGTCCGTTCCCTTCACACTGCTACTTGGCGCTCAGCGCCCAGCCTACTCCTAGCACAGCGACTACAGCCTACTAATTGACAATGCAAATGTTGACATCAGCAGCAACCTGAAGTACTTGAAGATGTGGCCCATGCAGACCATCGCCAATACAAGGTGTGACTTTACACCCACGTCTGTCCCCTCTTACACCCGAAGACCACCCCGGCGCCTCATTGTAGTCCAAGCCCACCAGCTATGGTGGCTGGGCTATGGCGCTGCCCTGAGCAGCGCCCTTCTTCCCTGCACGACCGCACGTGCTGCACCTCGCCTCTCAGCGCCAGCCAGCAGCCGCGAGCTCTTGCTCCAGCAGTGCTGCCGCTAGCATGCGAGTGCCTGAATGAGGCTGCCAGGGGAGAGCTCTTTCCTTTATGGAAAGAGCTGGCCTGCTCGCACAGCCTGGCTGCATTGGCCTGGGCCCAGAAGCTTCCGGAAGGCCCCAAGAGGCTGCCTGTGTACAGCAGCTACTGGGCTGCTGGGCCTCGTTCGGTTGGGCGCCCAACTGTCCCTGTATGAGGCTGCGAATCACGCCCAGGGCCTGCATTCCTGGGAAAAGCCTGGAAGGGCGTGGAAATGTCTTTGTTGCCAGGCCCGTGTTTCTCTCAACCAACTGGCGCATCGCAACTGCCTGGACCCCAAATATGAAATTGACAGTCGAGGGCCTCTTGCGATATGTCAGGCCCACCTTCACTTAGGGCGGGCAGCTCCGCCTTCACTTAGGGCGGGCGATGCTGTAACAGGGGGCCTACGGAGGACCCTGATCCTCGCAGAGTACAAACAAATTATGAATAAACAAGTTTTGACCGCAGTTCTTGGACCTGTACTGAAACCAACCTTCTGAGTTTGTCTCGAGAAATTTTAGACTCTCGAGGGAATACCTGAGCTCAACTGGTTAAAAGAAAGACCCAAAATTTTATTTAGACCTGTCTCAAAAATAACAAAGCATGCCAGCGTTCATGTACATCATTGAGTTAGACGAGTTCGTAGATTGGGATATCCAGATAGTTTGAGAAGTGAGGCCATAAGATTCCCTTACCACAAACGAGAGGCTTACCACTCCCCCATTTTCGCGCAGCAGACGAACAAAGTCCACATATAATCCCAGAAGATTTTAGAGCTGCCCCTTATTCAGCCCGAAACTTATCACTCGATGGAGCATGCGCGCAGGGCTCACCATGTCGGGGACTGAGATTTATTTGTTCTTGCTCTTTGCTAGACTCCCCACACCAGAAGGTGACTTAACGCAGCTCAATTCTAGCTGACCGAGCGTAAACTCCTTCACGTGTCCAGTAGAGATGAGCGTAGTTTTAGACTTTCTAAAACCCTGACCCGAGAAGGAGGTTACAAACCTTTGGAAAGTGCTTACCTTTGAAGCTGCTGAGGGAGATACCAGCGTAATTTCTCGAGATCGCTGTGCGAAGTTTAAGTTTCTATGCCCACGTATTAAGACTATGAACTGCGGGGAGCCCCCGTATGCTAGTGTCAGTCTGTCGGCCTGTGCCAGGAAAAGTTTAATCGCAGAACTCTGCAGTTCCCAATTTCAACACAAGTAAGCCCATGACAAGAACTTGCCCACGGCGCGACTGTTGTAACTCGTCTCTGGCTCATCGAACTCGCAGCTGTTCTGGTACTTGCTTATCAACCGCTCAATTCGGCAGACTTGTGTGTAAGCTGGCGGTAACTTGTCATCCGATCGGCTCACCTCGCTCTTACTCGATTGGCTCGTAGCATACTTGTATGTGACATGGCGCGGACTCATCATCCGATCCGCTCACCTTGCTCGTACCTCATTCGCTCGTAGCTTATTTTGGCGTTTGCTTGTTAAGTTCTCAGTTCATTAGGCTTGTATGTAACTCGGGAGTAGCCCATCATCCAATCAGCTCACCCGTCCCCGATTGACTCATAGCTGATTTTGGCACTTACTCACAAAACACTCGGTGTGTTTGGTTTCGCTCTGACCTAACACTTGCTCATGAATTGCTCAGTTCGTCACACTTGTATGTAACCTAGCAGTAACTCATCATCCGATTGGCTCACCTCGCTCGTACTTGATGGTCTCCCCCTTTCTTGATTGACTCTCCTTTCGTAACTGAACCTCTGTTTGTGCAAACTCGCGATTGTCTTGGAGCACAACAACGATAAAACAATAGGCAATGTC